TAAGAGGTAGTGGAGGTGTGGTAGAGGTGAGAGATGAGAGGTAGTGGAGGTAAGTGTGAAGGAGGTGTTGAGGTGAGAGGTAATGGAGGAGGTGAGGTGTGAGAGGTCGTGATGTTTCCCACAATATATTACAAAAACCCTGAAGGTTATAAAGAAATACATCACTATTCTTGCATCAGTTTAACGTAATACAGTAAAGGAGAAATATTCTTAACCAAACGAAAATATGAATTAAATAATATTCATCATTATCTTCTGTTTCGTGTACAATTAAAATTTTTATGAGGGCGAGACCGGAAGGACGATTTGGGAAATGTTGAAATCCTTATGTTCCGTCAGGTAGAATTTTCACATTAATATTCTAAAAAGGTTGTCATAATAAATTTCCTACAGCACGAGAGATTTTTCACATCATTCATTAACATTCAGTACAATATTCTACAAGGACTAGTTAAAAAAAAAAGTTAAAATTTTAGCATCCTTTCCTTAGCTGTTACTAAACTCGAAAATGAAATGCAGCAACTAAATTAATTACTAAACTGCTAAAAAAAAATATTCTATTTATTAAAAACAAAACAAAAATAAGAGTAATAGTTATAACATTACATAACATTACGTCTGTACCGTCGACGTTATTCCCAGAGGAGAGGAAGAATCGAACTGTAATGACCCACATCAAAGTACAGACCGCTATCAGTATTCCTTCGGTTGAATTTCCATATCAAAGAGCAAAGCAATTTCGACGTCAACTGCAACAACCTAAGGCAGTATTATTATTACAGTATTTTCGTTATGATCAGTTTCGTATAAGAGACGAAGTTGAAGTAAAGGTAAGTTAGTTGCCCTCTTAAATTGTCAATGTCCCGATATCGTAACGTTATCCCCTGTCATTCGAAGTTGGTTAAAGTTAAGCTATCGGAAAGCTATCGTCTGCTATACGAAGTTGGTGAAAGTTAAGATATCGTAACAGTATCCTCTGTTATACGAAGTTGGTGAAAGTTAAGATATCGTAATGTTGTCCTCTGCGCTAGTGACCACAAATTCTACCACAGGACGAGACTCTATTACCACACCATATATTCACCAATATCTTAATACCCCGTCAATTAATTCTACCACTACAGTCTATTATCTAAATACATTATTCATATCAAATATTTAAAAAAAAAATCGCAAATTCCGAAAAAGCTATTTTGTTGAATTTGGGTAGAAGTTAGTTGTGATTCCTCCCTCAGATGTTCCTCCTTCAGGTGTTCCTCCCTCAGGTGTTCCTCCTTCAGGTGTTCTTCCCTCAGGTGTTATTCCCTCAGGTGTTCCTCCCTCAGGTGTTCCTCCCTCAGGTGTTCTTCCCTCAGGTGTTCCTCCCTCAGGTGTTCCTCCTTCAGGTGTTCTTCCCTCAGGTGTTATTCCATCAGGTGTTCCTCCTTCAGGGCCTCTTCCCTCAGGTGATCAAGATAGAACAATGCCACCATCATCACATCAACTAGGACCTGTTCCTCTGTTGGCATTCCAGGAAGACATTCAGCTGCTCACGATTCAGCTTTAGCTCAGGGGATAAGCTAACACAGAGAAAGCTTTGTGTGTGTGTGTGTGTGTGTGTGTGTGTGTGTGGATCGAGCCATAAGCACATCGTCAATACACAGTCTCTGCCGCTCCACCCCCCCCCTACTGTAAGACGCTTGTATAGGGACAGTATCTTTCCTAGACCAAATATCGCCCTCAGTCTGCCCTTAAAAGTACAGTAGTAGTAGTTAGTAGTCTCTCTCTCTCTCTCTCTCTCTCTCTCTCTCTCTCTCTCTCTCTCTCTCTCTCTCGTGCTGTAGGAAATTTATTATGACAACCTTTTTAGAATCTTATGTGAAAATTCTACCTGACTGAAGAAGGCAGACGAAGGGCAGAACACGATAGAAGATAAAGGAGGAAGAGAACAGTCAAAGGACACGACATAAAAATTGAGAGATCCAGAAAATCAGAAAAGGAAACGAAGGGAGGACGAGAAGAAAGGGAAAAAAAGGAGGAGGATTTGGAAGAGGAGGGAAAGAAAGGAAAAATAATTGCTGGGAAAGAGAAATGGAGGAGGGAATAGGAACAGAATGTGAGGAGAGGAGACAGGAGGACGATGTGGGGGAAGGAGAAAGAGGAGAGAGAGAGAGAGAGAGAGAGAGAGAGAGAGAGAGAGAGAGAGAGAGAGAGAGAGAGAGAGAGAGAGAGGGAAGAGGAGGGAGATAAGACAGGATAAGAAAAGAGAGTGGAGGGATAGGTGGAGAAGGAGGGGGTGACGTGTAAAGAGGAGCGAGAGCTGTAAAGAGGAGGGAGTAAAGGAAGGACGGCAGCCGGATTTCGTTATTAACTGTCTCCTAACAACAACAAGGGAACGCATCACCAACCAATGTTCTCCCTCCTACGTTACACAGCCTCAAGGCCCTTACCCGGACTAAACACCTACCAGCAGTACTCACGCCAGTAGTACTCACCTCAGCAAGTACTCAACCCAACAGTACTCTCCCTACAGTACTCAAACAGCACTCACCTCAGCAGAGTCTACGTACATGCACCAGACTCACCTCTTACCGAGACATTTATTTCATCAATAAAAGATGAATGAACGCGCGAATCTACAGAAATAATTAGAAAATGAATTTGTAGATCCAAAGTAGATGCCGAAATTATGTTGACGCAGCGAATGAAAGGCGGAATTCTCTCTCACTCCCTCAGGTGGAATTTGTGGTGAGGCTTCAGACGTGGCCTGCTCCTGGAGGGGTGACTAAGACTCCTTGTGTAGGAGGGGACGCCCTGAGGTCTCGTTAGGTAAATTAAGTCCAGAGAGATTCAGAACCCAAAGACCTGTCAAGTCTTGGTGTTGGTGGTGGTGGTAATGTAGGTAGGGCTGGTGGTGGTGGCGGTGGAAATGGTGATGGTTGATGGTAATGATGGTGGCTGATGGTGGTGGCGGTGGTAAGGGTGGTGGATAATGGAGGTGGGGAGGTAATGGTAGTGGTGGCAGTGGCAATGGTTGTGGTTGAAGCAGCAGTGGTAATAGTGGTGGTAGTGAACGTAATGGTAGTAGATATGATAGTGGTATGGTGGTAGTGGTAGCTCTACACCACACTACACTACACTGGAGAATGCTTGTTGTCTTTCAGGGAACAGAACCTTTGTCCCCTGGTCGACAGTTTGTAGTGGAGGTAAATAAAGACATCCTTTTCATCGCCAGTTGCCTCGTGTCGTCCGGCCCAACATAAACTTTTGGGGGGGGGGGATACAGTGCTTTCTCTTCCACGTTCAAAGTTCATTTATACTGTATGTTACGGGAGATCACAATGTTGACTGGTATGAAATCGTTTAAAATATTATTCTTATTAATACTCTTAAAATATTATTAATATCTACTGAAAAAAATATACATAAATTTCCCCATTCTCTATTTTATCTCTGGAGGTATAACTAATTCATATATATATATATATATATATACTGTATGTATCAAATACTCGTCGTAATTCTATGTTTGTTTTTTAATTATCGAAAACAAATATAAAATTCACACGTTCTATTTTTTATATAACATCACAGGCATTAAATATTTCTCTTGGCGTCACTACATATTTATCTTAAACAAACACACATAAAAAACAAAGTAATTAGCGGAACGAAAAAATAAGCCTGTAAAAAGTTTAAAGGTGGATCTTTTTAGCACCACCCACAAAGGCCCGGGACGTGGGTGACATCCAGTACCTTGTCATGGTGTAATTGACATCGTAAGATAAATACACGATGTGAAAAGACTCCGTAATGACGCATATCTGTTACTGTCAGCCTAGTGTAGTGAGGCTGACACCCATTGTTCCTTGCTGACGACCTAAACCTGATATAACGCTCATATATGTCCAATAATAATATGTAAACGCTCATATATTTTCATTAATAATATATAAACCCTAATATATGGTAATTAATAATATAAAATCACTTATATCCATCAAGAATATTTAAAAACTCATATATGGTCAATAATATACATATAAACGCTCATATAAATTCTCTAAGTATACATGAAGCTAAATTTCCTTATATATTTTTACCAACGTACAGTACAGACTCTCCATCTATATATATGTACACGGAAAAGGTTTACGGCACAATCTTCTATAGGGCAAGAGATGTACTTCAGAAATGTAAGCAGCAGAAAACAACATTAAAGAGTGAAAGAAAATTACACCACACAGACTAATTAAATTTTAGATTGTCGGTATTATTTATTTCATCATTTCAACAATCACACTGATGACATCTTATTCATGAAGGACATTTTTAATTGATGTAATGGACAGGGAAATGAATCTCTATATTGTGTACTCGTATCCATTTTGACAATGTTTGATCTTGTACTGTACCTCCTGGGGGAACAAGCAAGAAATGCTCTCTCTCTCTCTCTCTCTCTCTCTCTCTCTCTCTCTCTCTCTCTCTCTCTCTCTCTCTCTGTGTGTTGTGAAGTGGAGGTTGAACATTTACCTGTATTAATTAGAAGAGTAATTGTATTTCTGACTTTTTGGTATTGTAATGATAATACTATTATTACTATGTTTTGTTAATTCCACACCCACACACACACACACACACACACACACACACACACACACACTCTCTCTCTACCTGTACGTATACAGTACATATTTGTCTGGTGCATCACACAGGTAATTTTTTGGGTTCATCAGGTAGTGTCATGAACGCTTCTGACAATATTATTGACCTAAAGTAATATGATTTAATATCGGTAAATAACTTACACTGTTGCTGAGGTGAGAGAAACTGGTGTCCGCTGGAACACAATAACACTGAAGACTAAATTACATTAAATATGAAAATAAGTTCACACGTATAACATATTATTAATAGCTAAGGAAACTGTATAAAGCGGGAGAAGAAGGAGAGGTGAACAAGAAAGTGTAGGAGGATAAAGAGAAAAAGCAGAGGTACTGAGAGGTTGCTGGCCCACTCACCCATCCACGTGCTGTTGGTGATGATCTGCAGGATCCTGGCGGGGTCCATGGCGGCCGTCTCTCAATCACTGACTCAATCACTCTGTGTATCGTCGAGTCTATGAGCTTAGGGTCTCGGGTACAACTCGGGCACCCTGAAGCAAAGGTCAGTACACTCAAAGTCTAATTATCCGACGATCATGCATCAAAGACCTTAAGGGATTAACTTGGCTTCCAGGGTTCTATGATGTTAAGAGTCTTGCACACTGAGTGGGGTCAACATACTCTAAGGAGTCCAAGGACTGTCCACTCGTGACCATATACTGTACACACGAAGGGTCTATAATCTGAAGCCCTTTTGCTCAGGGACTAGATAAACTTAAGGTCTTATATAGAAGACAAGGACATTTGACTAGTGGTCCAGTGAGTCAGTCGCCCACACGACACCGGGAGGCTGTCTGCTCTTTCTTTACGTCCTCCGGCAAATTTTTTCAACTACTTGTGTATACTAAACTTATTCATTGTCACTGATATTATTTTATGATACTGATTTCTAAAGTATTTTCACATATAATTAAACTGTTTGTAGATCATCATGGGTTGTGTTCAAGCTGAAGGAGTACCATATGTGGTTAATGGTAGTGAAAGACATGGAGTGAATGTTTCTACCCACCTAGTTTTCTCAATTTCTTTCTGTCTTACTCCTGACGTCAACATAACACAAAAATAAACTGCCCGGAGTTTTGTTGTCTGGGAGACAGACAGTGAGGCCGCGCTACCCCGCCATCCTCACGACATTACTATGTCACACACACACGCACAGACACGCTCGCACGTACGTACGTACGTACGCTCGCACGTACGCACGCACGCACGCACGCACGCATTTTTTCGTGCAACATTACAACTTGCACAATATAGCGAATGCAAACTCTATATCGATACGTGTGTACATTCTAGTTGTTTGTATACAAGAAACGCCCAACATTATCAACAAATATATCGGTTACTATCGCCAGCTGCTGACAACACAACGACATTGAAACAACAGGGATTTTTGCCTCGGAAAATTCACCTCATCATGCTCGGTGTGTGTTAAGTTCACAACCTAGGCTCTGTTTGGGGAGTTGAGCTGTGTTTACTCTGAGTGTGTATCTATCTGTGCTCCTTTCTCAGTCCCCCCCCTCTCTTTCATCCCCTCCCTCCTCCCTCTCTCTTGTACCGTCCCTCCTCGCCTCCCTTTCTCCTGGCCTCCAACTGTCTTCCCCTCCTCCCACGCCACTTCCAGCCATCATCATTCTCTCCCCACCCTTCCCATTCCCCTCCCTTCCACCCCCCCTTCTTTTCTCCGCTCTTCCTGACTTCCTTTCCCCCTTGGCTTCTTCCCACCCTCCCTCCTTGCCTCCCTCGCGGTATACTCACCCTGTACGTGGGCTCATCCTCCAGCGTAGTAATGTTGAAGAGAAACCTTTGGGGAAATATTCCACGTAATCTGCAGGAATCTCAAGCGAACTCGGGAACGAAAATGTAACAGAAAAGAATTAAAAAAATAAATCTTGTAATTCAGAATATCCAGAAGAATCTGAATGACTGTTTGTTAATTATAATACAGGCGAGTTAATTAAGATACGAATGTATATATATTGCCGTTGTTGAAGCTTAATTATTATGGCGTTAAGTGAAATGTATGACTATTTACTTACAGGTCAAAGGATTTATAATTCTGTTAACACACACACACACACACACACACACACACACACACACACACACACACACACACACACTATTCAACGACTAACTCTACTTTTCCACACCTATTAAGACCAACTCCCCAGGAAACTAATTTGCATATGAGAGATGGACTCCCACTAAAGAGACGGTTTAGTGACGCATTGTTATTGTGATTTATAATGTTGGTGAAAACAAGGCGAACTTTGAGTCTCTCTCTCTCTCAATAAACAAATAAATAAATAAATAAATAATGATATATTCTAATAATCTGTCTCTTTATCTTTTTATACTATGATATATTATAATTTTTTTCCTTCTATCTAAAGTATCATGTACAGTATAATTTTCCCCGAGTACTTATGCCAAGGTAGCATTATAGAGGGCAGTATTTGTCATCAGTAAACCCACATCAACATCGATCAGTATGGAGGCCATTTTTCAACCTGAGACTGAGTGAGAATTCATACGACAAGTGCACCAAACATGTGAGTTGAGAGGATTACTTTTCGTGCAGTCGTAATTTTTCTTCGGTCGTGACATACAAATCATTCTGAATCGATATTTTAAGGACAATTTGGATAACTTTCAAAATAATTTATATTAGAAATTTGAATTAAAAACAGTTTGATATATTCATTAAAGTATAAAAATTAAAACTCGATTGTTATAAAAAATGGATCACCTGAAGATTGGACACCCTAGATTATTTCACCTTGACGCTACCTCGGGAGGAAGGATTAATTTAGTTTAGTGTAAGGTTGTTTAATTGCCAGGTTAATAAGCTGGGGTGCCTAATATTAACGATATCAAAACTTTTATGGCACCAAACTATTGGAGGACGTTTTAAAGAATTAACTAATGAATAGTCACACACTACGCTGATAAACATATTTATTTATATTTATGAAGATTGACTTAATTTCGGGATGTTGTAGGTATCTACTATTACTACTTTGCTGCCACTCGGAATCGAATATAACGATCATCCAGTAACAATACAATGATGTGAGTTATTAAAGATGTCACCTTCATTGGTGAGCTCTGAAGCTTTGAGGTGACTGAGAGGCCGATACAGGACCGGCAGGGTCGTCCACAGATGTTGCACGTGTGGAGGGCTACATCTAGTGAGGGAGGGGCGGCGGTAACGTCTTTCCGGCGCTGGCGCTTGCATGCCCTGGTATGCAGTCGGGATAACTCGAAAGTCTTGACACCTTCTCGTGTGGTGATCCTCCAAGCATTACGGTGTGGAGTGATCGTCTCTCAGGTGAAGGGGTCTCACACACACACACACACACACACACACACACACACAGAATAACAGGTGTGGGAGAGTAGTGAGAGGTATAGGAGGGCAAGGGTTTATTTATACACAACACAACAGGTAAGACGAGACTCATCAGCCCTCCTCCCGGCACTAACAACACAACAGCCTAGGTTCCCCGTGTCATATATTAGTAAAAGTTTATACTGTAGTGCAAACTGTGCAATACATACTTGTTGAACTTTTCCTCTTTTTTTCTTTTACCATTATATGAGAGCGTGTTAGTACATTCTGTATAATAATTAGTTATGAGGGAGTGTCGTTGATGTTTGACCTAAAGATTGGGGGACTCTGTGTCTAGCATGTAGTCTGTCTGTCTGTCTGTCTGTCTGTCTGTCTGTCTGTCTGTCGGTTGAGCTCTTGTACGAGGGGTAGACTTGTACCCGGAAGCTGATCACCCACACGTGAACGTCATCACTGGCTCCGACTCGCAACATTTCCCCCAAAACATTTCTCGCTCCATAAGTCCTCCCACGAGACGAAATACAGTCTCGTGCGTGTGTGTTTTTTTTTACTGATGACACACACACACACACACACACATACACACACACACACACACACACACACACACGCTAGGTAGAGGACAAACCCCACTCAGCCTGCGCCCTCGGGAGTGTTGTGGTGAGAGGCGGGTCAGCTGGAGGTGGCAGTAAGCACTATTGGACGGGAGTTGTCTAGCGTGGTCCTGAACAACAGCTGAGGTGAGAGAGGATTAGGGGACACTTCCTCCAACACACAACTCCAACTTGATACATATTTTATGATGGGAGGGTAAAGGTGGTGGTGTTTGTTGGAGGTAATGTGTGGTGGTGGTGGTGGTGTTTGTTGGAGGTGATGTGTGGTAGGTTTGTTGAGGTGATGTGGTGTGGTGTTTGTTGGATGGTGTGTGGTGGTGTTTGTTGGAGGTAATGTGTGGTGGTGGTGGTGTTTGTTGGAGGTAATGTGTGGTGGTGGTCGAGTTTGTTGGAGGTAATGTGTGGTGGTGGTGGTGTTTGTTGGAGGGAATGTGTGGTGGTGGTGGTGTTTGTTGGAGGTGATGTGTGGTGGTGGTCGAGTTTGTTGGAAATGGTGATGGTGCTGGATGATGATGATGATGATGATGATGATGATGATGATGATGAAATATTCTTTATATTGACGATGGCTTTACTCCACTGTATAAATTCGTATCACATTTTTTTCTTCATATTTTTCCTTAATTACTATTATTTTGGAGTGAGGACAGGTAAGGAAGGATACGACTCCTCACCTCACCATCACCTCACTTCCACACCAACTAATCTACGGTCTACCACCTCCACATTTCACTTATTCCACACCATCTTTTCATATTCCATCAACAAACTCCACCACATCTTCCACCTCCCTGATCCACTACAGTAACTACACAAGCCCCAAAGCTCCACCACATTCCACAGCTTCCCCCCACATTCTTTCCCCTTTCCCCCACATCACATATCCCCTCTCCCTGCTTCCCCCACCTCACACATTCCCCTCTCTCTCCCCTATTACATTCTTCCCCTTCTCCCTTCACCTTACACATTCCTTCTCCTTCTCCTTCCCTCCTCCACTTCACACTTCCCCCTTTCTCTCCTCCCACCAAATTGTTCCTACCTCTCCCCCTCCCTCCATCACCATATATTCCTCTTTCTCCTCCACCTCAGACATCCCCTTCTCCCTGCTGCTCAGACACAGGTAATGATGCCAATTACCGACAGGTGAAAGTGTCAGGTTAGGGAGATGTCTTGTGGCTGCCTTCCTAACACGGATAATAAGGCCGAATTTATCCTACCTGGACGGTGCTGAGTGACCTGTGTGTGTGTGGGTGTGAGTGTGTGTGTGTGTGTGTGTGTGTGTGTGTGTGTGTGTGTGACGTCTGACCACAGACTCTGGTTAAGTGACCTGACACAGTTAATAATGTGCATGGAGAAAGGGAAGAATGAATTGAGGGAGAACTGTTGAGGTGAGGACGAAGGAGAAGGAGAGAGAGAGAGAGAGAGAGAGAGAGAGAGAGAGAGAGAGAGAGAGAGAGAGAGAGAGAGAGAGAGAGAGAGAGAGAGAGAGAGAGAGAGACAATAAACCACTCCTCCACTTGTACACTATAACTCTGGCACAGGTGAAAGTCTTTACCCTGAGAAACACCCCAGCTGTAAATTTTACGACCTTAAGAAAATATTTCACGAATCGAGGAAGAATGTATTTCCAAATGCTTTTACTGAATATGCTGTTATATCCAGTTGTATTTTTTTTATTTAACCGGGAATATATAAAAATGTATTTAGTGAATATATCTCAAATAACTTTAGTTTCATAGTTTCTTATATCTCAGTTAAATATATGAATGTAAGTGTATTTATTTACCTCTTCATTTGTTTAATTATTTATTTATTATTTTTGTCAGAATTTTGGTTTTCTATTCTTCAGAATTTCTACTTTATCTCAGCTCAAAGCAAGTTAAATGTCGAGTATCCTTCTCATTCACTGGCAGACAAAGTAACATTCACTAAATATTAACAACA